GGAGGAGCGCGCTCAGATGGAGGAGCTCGGGGTACTGCAAGACGCCTGCGAGGTGCCCACGCGCGCAACTCGTCGAGCACGCGTCGGCGTCGCTGTGGTCGAGCCTTCCTATCTCGACGCGATCCTGTGGCTCATAATCCTCTCTCGAACTCCGGCCTAGTCTCCCTTCCTTCTTTGACGGCGTTTTAAATCTGTAGCCTTGTGCCCTGTAGCCATCACCTGTAGCCTGCGGATTCACCCCTTCGATAGTTATGCCGTTCCTGAAAAGCTCGGGAAATTCAGCCGCTCTTCCTTAATGTTCAGTATGCTCACTTTCGACCCTAGCCTGATCGAGCACACGGTGACACTAAATCTGGATGTCGCTGCGAGGTGGCCCTCCGCGATCTGACGTGCTCGGAGATGCACCGCCTCGGAAGGCGAAGCACCTCGCTCCTTCGCTTGTCGACTCCGGTCAGTTCACCAACACCATGAAGTTCGCACTGTGGTCGCTAGCAGCGGCAGCTTCGGCACCGCTGTTTGCCTCTGCTGCTCCGCCCTTCGTCCTCCAGAACGGACAGCGCGCGCCGGCTGCGCTTTTTGATCAAGTCACCGAGCCCGCTGCTCATCGCCTGCAGGATCTCACGGTCGACGATTTCCAGGCTGTCCAGCATGCCATCAAGGATTCGTTCGAGCACGCCGTCGACGACGCGAAGCACCTGATCCAGGACACCTTCAACCTCGCCTCCGATGATGACGACGCAGTTGCCAACAACGCAATCCCTCACTTGCCGAGTCATCCGCTGCCGCCGCCGGTGATTGATCTCAAAGAGTACACCATCTTTGAGATTGTCAACGCCTCGCTCGAGCACCACCACCACCGCTGTGGTCACCATCACGACTCCTCCGAGTCCGATGCCGAGGAGGCGCGCCACATCGCCACCCGCAAGATCCGCAAGGGACTCGCCGCGGTCTTCCGATTCGGAGACGGCGAGAACGGGGACGGCGAGCACAAGCCAGACCCGTCCAGGCTCCCGCTACACCGTCTCGCTTGGCTCGCCAATTTCAGTACTGAAGCCGGCGACTTGCTCAAGCAGGATGGGCCCATCACGCTGCTCGCTCCGGACGATGCGGCGCTCACTCCGCCCCACCGCGGGCACGGACGAGAGGGTCCTCACGAGCACCACGGACCGCCGGGTCGTCGTCCGAGCGGACCTCGTCGCGGACCGATGGAGGACCCGCATGTTTCCGTTGTTCAACCAGGTGAGTATTCCGACTCCTTCATTCCAAGCTACGCGGTCGAAAGCTCACACCTGCGGTCTCATTCCCTATTCACAGTTGACCTCGCCGAGATGGACCCGCTTCACGGCGCTTTCTCCGAATCGGCGCCGCACCCCTTCCACTCCGAGGCGTTCAGCCCTGAGAAACTTGCCGCACTCGCCGTCAGCGAGGAGGGAGGAGACGAGCACCGCCGCGAGATGTTCAAGAAGCTCATCGCCATCGTCGCCAAGTACCACATCATCCCGGAAGCCGCCGAGGCTCGCGACCTCGTGGACCGCGCGACCCTTCCGACCCTGCTCACCGACGAGCGCGTTCGAGTGTCTCCCGCGTTCCGCGGTTTCCCCTTCCCGCACCCGACCCTGAGCTTCAACGTCTACGCCGAGAAGCGCGGCCCGACCATCTTGGCCAAGAATGGAGTCATCCACCTCATCTCGGCGCCGCTTCTGCCGCCGTTCACGCCGCTCAACCAGGTCTTCTTGACGCCGCAATACTTTGGCGCCCTCACGAACGCGGTGCAGAAAGCCGGTCTCGCCTCGGCCCTCGTACCGCAGCACGCTTATGAGGCCGACTCGGACTTGGACGACGAGATGCCGCCTCTCGTCTCGGAGCTTATTCAGGAGCTTGTCGCCGAGAAAGGTTTGAACGAGTACACCATCTTTGCGCCGACCAACTGGGCCTTTGGTCGACTGCCGTTCCAGATCCTCGCCTTCCTCCACTCGCCGTTCCCCATCTCGCAAAAGGTCCTCAAGTACCTGCTCGCGTACCACGTCGTGCCGGGCGTCACCTTCTACACCGACTTTTACAAGAACGACTCGTCGGTCGCCGCAGCGGCTCTTTCCGTTCACGAGGAGGTCGACGTTGAGCTCCGGATGGACTTGCCCCTTGACGGCCCGCGCCGGGAGCTGTCGCCGCGCGGCAATGTTACGCACTACGTCCTCCCAACTCTGCTCACCGAGAGCAACGAGAACGCCACTCTCCGCGTCGACGTCATCTCGTACCGCTTTGCGGGCAAGGGACCGGTCCGCCGCTCCGTGATTGTTCATCCCGCGCACCACCACCACGACCACGACCACCACGGTCATGACCACGACCACGATCACGACCACGACCACGATCACGACCACGGTCACGACCACCACCACGACCACGACCACGACCACGACCACGACCACGACCGCGATGGCGGAAAGCACCACTTTGGTGGCGAGCACGGCGGCGGACCTCGCAACGGCCCGCTCCACCCGCACCCGGTTAAGGTCGCGTTCACCGACGTTCCGGCCCGCAAGGGTGCCATCCAGGTGAGTGATCCGCTCTTCGCTGGATGATACTAGCCTGGTCAGCTGACGCCTTGGCCACCCATCTTGCTTTGCACAGGTCCTCGGCCGCGACTTGCTGCTCCCTCCGCCGCCTCCTCACCACCACGACTCTTCGCTCTCGGGCATGGACGCTTTCGAGGTCAAGCAGATCCGCAAGGCTCTTCGTCAGCTCCGCGCTTGATCGTACACACACCCAGCCTGTACATATTGCGTTCTGCTTCGGCTCGAAAATCGTTCTCCGAATCGAAACAAAGTCACTCTCCCTGCTCTTCACAGCACCCTCTGTAGCCACGTCATCTGTGAGCCTTTTTTTCTGTCTTGCGCAATTCGCATGCGGCCGCGCCCTACGGCCTGGATTGTATATCGGATTCAGCGCGGATCGGGAGCCCACCCCTCTTCGAATTTCGTTTCTCGCGCTAGAGCACGCCTATTCCTGCTCAGGCGCGCTGGACTGCCCGAAGCGCGTCTGTACCATAGTGAAAGAATCGCTTTCTGAACGCCTGTGCGCGTTGGCGTTTGGGATTCGCAAAGCCGACGCCGCTTTCACCACTGACACTCACGCTCCAGGCAAAGTGCGTGCCCTCCTTGGGAGCACCGATCAAGACTGCACTGGAGAAGAAGTCCATGACGGAGGCGACTAGGTCGGAATGCCCGGGAGCAGGCTATAGTAGCTGTTGTTTGCTCCTCGTAGAGTTGACCTTCTCACGCTGGCAGGAGGACTTACGTCCAGCTCGAAAGTCGGAGCAGCGCTCGCAAGCTACTTTCACTTCGGGGCGAAAGGTGCACGGACAATCTAGATAACTGAAGCCCGGACTGGCTCTTGCGGCTCGGAACGCGGCCAAAGTGACGACCTGCTCATTGGCGTTGAATTCCTCGCCGCAAATCGCCAGCGATCTGCAAACGCTGTTCAGAGGAGCTGTCTAAGCAGGCCCTCCGTCTGGGTCAGCTTGTAGCACACTCGACTTGGGCGGTACGCGACTCACCCGCTGTTGGCTCCCGTCCGCAGCTCGCCCGTCCATTGCCACTGCACGTCGTTGTACAGGAGCATCTTGCCCTTCTGCTGCGCGCGGGTGGGCGCTCCGCGGAAGAGCGCCGACGACGACCCGAGCCGGGCCCGTCGAGGGCTTGTAGGCGCAAGTCGAGCCGGAGCAGTGCACCGCTGGCGAGGCTGGCTCGAAGAGGTTGAAACGACGTGGCTGTCTCTAATCGAGACGAGTCGACACCAAACCACAGATGGAGACGGGCCGAGAGAAAGAGCGGAGGAGCTGGGTCAAGCAACCACGCGTGCTGTTGCCAAGTCGGAGGTTGAAAGAAAGGACGGCGGCGGCGGCGCGGAATCTGGGGAAACGACGACGGGACGGGATCGAGTCGCCGCCGCCGTGGAAAAATCTCCTCATCGCGTCGCCTCCGCCCATTGCCTTGCGAGAGCTGTGCCTTATGTCAAGTCGCTCATGTTGGTGCAGACTCTGCGCACTCGGTTCAGTATTGGAGACGACGACGACAGGAGATGATGCCTCCTCTTCTAGGCGTCAGCGACCCACCCATCAAGTCGGCGCATTTGGACCACGCTTCTTCTCAAGAAGAATCGAAAGCTGTCTCGTTCGGTAGGGCGGAAGACAGCTTGGCTTGTTAAGGAGAGGCAGGCATGTTGGGCGGTGGGGCGGCGCGTGCGAACGAGGGTTGCGCGACCTCATTTCCGTCAGTCTTTAATCTGCAAGCGCCCGGAGAGCCGCAGTCAGATTGAAAAGAGCTTGAAATCGCATATCCGGATCTGGTTCCTTACATACGTAGTCGGAAACCGGGCGTTCATGGAGAGCGTGCATGTTGTTTGGCCGCATCTTGGCCTTCTCTTCCGGACCGCGCTGCGCCTGGACACTGCGAAGCGAGCCGGATTTGATCGAGGTGCTCCCATTTCGGTCTCGGAGTAGAGGCCCTGGGTGCTGGTGGACTAGGAAGCGAGTATCCGGCCCCGGCACTCGATCGTCAGACGCGCTTCCGTGCGACGCCCTTTGAATTACTAGTCGGAAGGCGGAGCTATGTATTACAGTTTGAAGTAAGGACGAGAGAGCGAGGTTGGCGCGGCAGAATCCCTTTGCGTGCGGGAGTTGGAATCGGGAGGAGTCCGTAGGGAATGCTTGTTCCGGATATGGACTATGCACACCCTTCTGTGCTTGCAGAAGAGTAGCGTCCCCGTATGTTGTCGTTGGTGCGGAATGCAAATGGGCATCAACCGCCAAACGAGGACCTCTCGAACACCACCGTGCTTCGCTTTTGTGTCGCCGGAGTTGCAGCGGAGCACTCCTCACCTTGTGTAGTATCTGTGACGGTGCTCACCCGCTATGCATCGAGCCCGTACCTCGTCGTTTTTCTAGATTTTTTCTTGGGAACTTACTCAGCAAATAAGACCGCCTCAAACACCCCCTATTCGGAGCAATCGCCTAGTGGTTATGGCGGAGATTTACTACGCTAGTCTGTCTCTGGGCTACGCCCTCGGGAGTTCGAATCTCCCTTGCTCCTCCTAAACCTTTTGGGTAGCGCGGCAACTTTTTGATGGTACTCGGGGGGGGGGGATCTCCCTCTTCTCGCTTTCCGGCTAGTTCGAATGCTTGCACAAGTGCCAAGGAACTGTCGAGTGCAGAGGACACTGCGCACTGTATAGCCTCAGGCACCCCGGCTCGACGTCGCGCGAACCCCCGCCAGTCCGTGAGAAGGCCGACTTTCCGCTCATCGACAACCTCCGCCTCCGCAGAGCCAGGCGCTATAGACAGCTGTTGAAGAAGACGCGATGCCCTCACTGCCGCCATCTGCGCCGGAAAAACTCGCCCGACGTCCGACTTTACATTGTGGATTGCCCTCCTGCTCCTCCTAGACCTCGTCTTTTTAAGCGCTCCGCCACAAGGAACGCTTCTCTTTCCTTCTTACACGCGGCCTTGCGCAACCAACTCGGGTAATTCGAGTCATGAAGTTGCGGGTCTCGACCCCGTCCGAGCATAGCACCGCCTGCGGGGGCTCTAGTCAACCTTTTGCACCTGCGAGACGCGGTGAAGCATGAGGGGGTCTGTACGCTATTGTCGCTTTGGAACACATCACCTTGGACGCCTATACAGCCTTTTTATCCCTGAACAACAGCCTGAAGCTGTCTTCGGGAATCAGAACGTTGTGTCCGGAAGCCAGAAAGCTCGAGCAAGTGCGGCCCGAATTGGAACAGCCGACTGGGACCGCAGCCGGCTCAAATGCTTCATGGGTCGCTCCGCAATAAACTCTCTCATAGGAATGGACACCAGGCAGGATTCCTGTGGCCAGGGGAAGAGGCGCATGTTGCTTAGTCCTCGCGACTTTCGCCTCCTTGCCACACGGCCAAACGGCCTCCAAGTGACGACGATATCGGATGTAGACTGACCAAAAGACAATGAGCTGTAGACTGATTGTAAGAAGGCATATACAGGAAGAGCCGCGGTACCCAGGAAAAGGGAACATTTAGCTCGAGCGAGACCCAAGATTGTGCTCAATCTCCTGCGCAAACCTTGCGGCGAGCGTCCTGCATCCTCAGCCCTGAACTCCAAGCCAATCGTCCCGTAAATCTGCTATTGACTCATGCTCTGGACGGCGCAGCGTTTCCTAGCTGCTGCACAGCTCCGGTGGTTTCTCCCGCTGCGATCCGGTCTGGTCTTCGCCGCCACCGCCAACTAAACCCGCTGCGGTACCTCTGCCATCTCAGATGGAGCCGTCTCCAAGAAGCGACGAATACATGGAGGCACGGTTTGACGTTCAAGCAAGACCGCCCGAGATCGCGACCTCTGTCGAAAGTCGTTCGCTTGACGCAACAGCAAAGGGAAAAAGAAAACCCGAGCCACTGTGTAGCGCGGAGCTGGTGCTGTAGATTCGAAGCTTGGCGCCAGTTGCTTACCTCGTTGCTGATCCGGTCTGGGCTGATCAGTTGATTGCAAACCGCCTTAGAAGCATTCGGGGGCAGGAGTCCGCATCCTGTAGCGCGAGGAGAGGTCCATTTCGGACCCGGAAATCGTCAGACCGCCTCTGCTCCAGCGTGAGGACGGACTTTAGCCTTGAGCACTGTCGACTCGCCCTTGCTCCAGCTTGAGGAGGGGCTTGGGACCACAAGCAGAAATGGGAAACGAAAAGTTGCGCAGCCCCGTTTTGAGCACTGAGGCTCACATCAGAGGAGCTGTGGCTACGGTCGTAGTAGGGCGCTCTTTGGCGCCCATGGTCTCCTGATCAAGCCTTCGCCAGGAGAACAAGGCGGTGGCTCAGCTGCGAGTCGAGTTCGATGTCATCGTCGGCCGTTCGCTCGTGCCAGGGAGACAGCGGGATCCGTGGCGGTCAAGCCGGTAGTTGTCTTCGTAGCAAGAATGATCTCGAGCGAGCTCCTGGCTATTCGCGAGCGAGAGATGTGAACCGGAGCGAGACAAGCCGCCGACTTGGAAAGATTCTCCTGATCATCCGCCGCTCTCTTCAACCGCGACACTCGAAAACAGAGGGCAGGGATGCCCTCGCTGTTGCCATCGGCTGCAACGGATGGCGCTCGTCGTCCGACCTCCCACTTTCGCGTCCAGATCGCCGAGTCGTCTTCAAACGAAACCGGCGTCACCACGACGACAACGGGAGGAGACGACGCCGCCCTCAAGGACACGATCGCCCTGCTGGATCGATTCGCACTCTCGACTCTGACGCGTGCAGCAGCAGCGAGCGCTCCCTCGGTCCTCGCCGTCAAACTCGCCGTCATCGAACGCCTCGCTTCGCCGTTTCCGGAACCGGCGCCGTCTGCAGGGTCGACCCGGGGCGAGACCACCGAGTTGATGAGAAAAGCGCTGCGAGTCTTGGACCCGAGCGATTGGGACGACCTCATCGACGAGAGATGGGCAGCCGGTACATGCGGGTTCGCGGCTTGCGGCGACAAGCCTCCTCTCGCAACTACAACTGCTCGAACCCATCTCGGCGTTACAGAAGCGAGACAACCACGCGAGACCTACGTTCCACGAGAAGAACGCAGCCTCCGACAATCCCGACTCCGCAACGTGCGCCTGCGAGGTGGTTCGCTCGTCCAGAAGAACCTCCTCACTCACTCGGACTCGGACGGCGAGCCACCCTCGGACCCGGGCGCGTTCTGCTCAGACAGGTGTCGAATCCAGAGCGAGTACTATCGCTCGTTGGCGGGGAGAGGGCGCGAACCGGATCGGACCGAGATGTGGGACGAGGTGGAACGAAGACGAGTCGAGGTTCGGAACTCGACAGCGGCTCTGCGACAAGAACAGGCGGCTGCGTCGATGACGACGATCCAAGCAGGAGCGACGGATCCTGATGTCGAACCGCGCTCGCCTCCACACGGACATGGCACCTCGAGCGCTTTCCCCGACGAGTTATCTACAACGACTCCGTCTCGCCGTGCCGCCGATCTCCCTTCATTCGATGATCCCACTTCGGCGTTCCTGTCCACAATCTCGATTCACGAGAAACCCATCCGGCCGGAAACTCGACCCGAAGCGCCTTCTCTGGCGACAGACGCGAATCGAGATCTCGAGCGCCGCCGCCGCCGCCAGCAGCAGCCGGCTCTTGCCCTTCCGACTGCGACCGCTGTAGGAGGATCAATGGCGGCTAGACTGCGAGCGAGTGGTACTCTCAGTGGCGAGAATCTCGACGTGGCGGTACCCCCGGGAAGGACAGGAGGAGGAACATCGTTGTCGTCGACTACTGCTCCTGAAACGGGCGGCGGCGGAGGAGCCTACGGTCTCCCGCCTATTCGGTTCCTGACCCGTCCACGGGAAGTGACTTCCTCCATGATGGGCGGCGGCGGTAGCAGCTCAAGAGGCTTGAGGAGTGATCTTGCAGCAGGAGGGGCGAGAAGGAACGACCAGGACGAGGAGGAGGAGGACGAGTTTGCGCACGGGCCGGTTTTGGAAGGGATCGATGAGGAGCATTTAAGATTGCTGGAGGCGGCGTTGCTAGAGCGCGATACCCTCCCCCCCGTATGAAACTCCCTTTGTGCAGCGGAGGTCACGTGTTTGCACGCCCGCTGCACAAAGTCACCCTTGATCAGGCAGCAGAAAAGGAGGGGTGCGTGAATCGTGATATAAAGGGAGGAGTGCTTCTCTCCCTCTCTCTCTCTCTCGCGGTCAAAAGGCTTGTTTAGCCGATGAGCCATCACCGGTATGCCCTCACTCTCGCAGCGTGTAGCGGATGGAAGTGTCGAGCGTAAGCTGCAGGGGACTTTTTTGTCTTTCTAATTATTGCACATTCTCTCGTTATTTCGGCCGACGTGACCAGCGCAAGTCCTCTACCCCATTTTACAACTGTTTCCTCTCCGCCGAGACCGAGACCGAGACCTTTCCCGCCGCCTTGGTCTTCCTCGCATGGGCCATCTCCCCGAGGGCCCTCCGACCTGTCAGGACGCTCGTGGCCGCGATCGCGGCAAAGTAGGGGAGGGTGTGGAGGACGGGGAGGAAGTAGACCCAGCTGATGACCGAGAGGGATTCGAGGGCGACGAGGGAGAGGAGGAAGAGCGTGGTGGTGCCCGAGGGGAGGGGGAAGCGTCCATTAGTCGGGACGAGGCGAGGGACCTGGCGGCGTGTGAAGAGAGTGTCAGCAAGGTGGGTGTGGGGGAGGAGGTGGGAGTCCCCCAGTTGCAGGCGTCCAAGCACTTACGGTTGCCAAGAGGACGATCCACGGAGCGAGGACGACTGCGAGTCCGACGAGGGCGACGATCGGGTTGACGCGCTTCTCTCCGTCCCTGAAGGTCCAGACGATTTCTGGCTGCGGCGCGTACTTTTCCGCTTCCCAGTGTTTCGGGAGGAGGAGGCTGGGATCTAAGCTGGGTGCCAAAGAGTGGGGCAACTGGATGCGACCGAGGTGGATCTGGATGGGTTCGGGTTCGTGAGGGTGACCGACGATGAGGGTCAAGTCGACGGGGGTGTCTTCTTCCGAGGCGGCGAGGGAGGCGAGTTGGGGCGAGGCCGAGTCCCATTTGGCTTTGCCCGAGTTGGGGCGGACCTTGATGGCGAATTGGGCTGACTTTCGAGTCGAAGGGTTGACGACGACGAGGCTGGCCTGTTGAGGCTGGAAAGGTTTCCCGTCCCTAGTGACGGTGAAGGCGAGTTTGAGGACGTCGGTCTCGCTCAGCGGCTTGCGGTCCTCGTCGTGGATGATTGGAGGCGAGGCAGCCGACGAGAACGAGTCTGACGAGATGATTGAGGCAGAGACCGAGTCGACGATCGAGAACTTGCCGTCTTGGACGGAGAGGGTCGCACTGGCTCGACCTGCGAGGGCTAGCACGGCGACGAGTAGAGACCACTGCATCGTGTGTGAGTATCAAGAGCGAGACGATGTGGTGCGGCCAACTCGAGGTGGAGTACGGAAGGCCAAATGTGCAAGGTTGGAATCGCCGCTAACTAAACCTCTTATGCTGCTTAGCTAACTCGCAGCTCGCTCGCCCACGCTATAGCTGCGCTTGAAGGATTCCAGAGCACGCATAGAGCATGCTGCCAGCGCCTGCTACCATCTCCGTG